TTAGAGGGATTTAGGAGGTTTAGGGTTTGGGGTTTGGGGGGGTTAGGGGGTTTAGGGGGTTTAGGTGGGGGGTTTAGGGTTTAGGGTTTAGGGTTTGGTTTAGGGCAAGATCTGTGGAGTGGAGGGTTTAGGGTTTTAGGGCTATTGTATAGGGCTTTTGGGGGGTTTTAGGCGGTTAGGGTTTTCCAAACCCCCTTTGAAACCCTACATCCTGAACCCCTTTGAGGTTCGGGGAACCCGGCATGATCCTCAACCCTAAGCCCCATTCCCTAAACCCTAAACCCTAAACCCTAAACCCTAAACCCTAAACCCTAAACCCTAAACCCTAAACCCTAAACCCTAAACCCTAAACCCTAAACCCTAAACCCTAAACCCTAAACCCTAAACCCCGAAACCCCAAAACCCTAAACCCCCTTTGAGGGAAGCTTGGGAGCGGCGCAGGACCAACTCCGGAGCCAAACTGCAGACGTGCAAAGCTTGTTGCAGAGGCGTGGTCCTGTTTAGGGTTTAGGGTTTGGGGTTTAGGGTTTAGGGTTTAGGGTTGTGGGTTTAGGGTTTAGGGTTTAGGGCTTAGGGTTTAGGGTTTAGGGCTTAGGGAGTTTGCTCTGCCTGTTGTGTGTGGGGCGAGGCTTCTCAACTCTAAAACTCTAAACGTGACTATCAATTCTAAACCCTAAGCCCTAAGCCCTAAGCCCTAAGCCCTAAGCCCTAAACCCTAAACCCTAAACCCTAAACCCCAAACCCTAAACCCTAAACCCTAAACCCTAAACCCTAAGACCCTAAGACCCTAAACCCTAAGGCCTTAAACCCTGCACCCTTGCAAACCCCCAGAAGCCCCCGAGGTGGGAGCAGCGCTTTGAGACCCTGCGGGCCCACGTGGAGGCTCGGGATGCCCTGTCACTGAAGGCTTCTCTTGGAGCTCTTCGGGTTCCGGTTTAGGGTTTAGGGTTTAGGGTTTAGGGTTTAGGGTTTAGGGTTTAGGGTTTAGGGTTTAGGGTTTAGGGTTTAGGGTTTAGGGTTTAGGGTTTAGGGTTTAGGATTCAGGGTTTAGGGTTTAGGGTCTAGGGTTTAGGGTTTAGGGCTTAGGGTTACTTCAGGGGGGTCTTAGGGGGGTTGAGGGTTGAAGGCTTAGTGTCGAGAGGTGCTGCTCGAGTCTCATTCGGAAGTAGGTTGCTTCGGGTTTAGGATTTCGGGTTTAGGGTTTAGGCTCTTGTGTGTTTGTTCAAAATCTTATTGTCATTTGCAGGGGGTTGATTTGAAAACACATTTCGATTTTTTAGACCCCCTTATCCTTGTAACATCCTTCTAAATCCATAACTTTATTTTTTTGAGGCCCCCAAACCTACCGTAGGATATGGTTCTTGCAACCTGCAATCAGCGGCTGCCCATACTCCATATTTCCGATCCTGTACTCGGTCTGCAAGAAGTGAGAGAGCTGACAGCAACTGAACGGGCAGAAGTGTTCACCTGTTGCGCAATAGCATCTTCAGCCATGTTGAAACGGCGCTAGCACGAAAACGACGTGCAAACCGCTTATGGCCATCAGTGCAACGTTGGTGACTTTGGGTGGGTGGCTTTTGCTCTTCGAATCTGAAGTCAATGGCTTTGTCTTGTTTACACAAACAAACACTCATGGTTGGGTGACAAGTGCTCAAATTCCCAAGAGGCCCTTTAAATGACCTGCACCTTGTGGGCAGAAGCAACCCAAGCAGGGAAAGCATCCCCTAAATGGAGGAGGGAGTCGCGGCAGAACTTCTCGAGTGTTTCTCTTGGTCTCGTTTGAGCCCCTCCTTGTGACTTTCGGAAGCGCTGGGCGGAGGCCGAGGCGTCGTTTCGCATCACCGGCGAGACGCAAAGGCGCGGACCGCCTTGGGGGTGGAGCTTATGGTGCAAGCTTGGGATGTTCCCTCTTATACCAGCAGTCCTTTAGAGGGGCTATTATAGGGGGTACCATAATCCCTATTAGGGGCTGATAGTATAAAGGGAAACATCCCCAGTGCAAGCGGTGTCGGCGCGCACAGATGCCCCTTGCAAATCCATTCGAAGCCAACTGCCAAGCCGTGTAGAAACCTCGAAATCTAGTATAGGGGTCGGAAAAACTACTACTTGTAACACTATTCCCCTGTTGGTCCCTTGATAGTTATACTACAATACCCCCCCCCCCCTTTTTTCAAAGCCCTATCCGAATGATTCAGGTTTTTAAATTAGTTGGATTAGTGACCTCACACCCCTACAGATCCAGCGCTCCTAAACCCTAAACCCTAATTAAACCCTAAACCCCAAACCCTAAACCCCAAACCCTAAACCCCAAACCCTAAACACGGGCCCACGGCGGCAGCTCTGCCAGGCGCATCGAGTCGGAGAAGCTCCTGACATCGCTGTCTGGGCACCTGGTGTGGACGGTGGGAGAGAGTAATCTCTGCAGATTGCGGAGCGTAGGGTTCAGGGTTGAGGGTTCAGGGTTGAGGGTTGAGGGTTTAGCGTTTAGGGGTTAGGGTTTAGGGTTTAGGGTTCGAGCATGTCGAAACCCCCAGCAGCTTCCCATCTTTCACGGTCCTTGCCAGGCTGGGATACATGTATCCTAAACCCTCAAAGCCCTACCCTAAACCCTAAACCCTAAACCCTAAGCCCTGAGCCCTGAGCCCTAAACCCTAAACCCTAAACCCTAAACCCTAAACCCTAAACCCTAAACCCTAAACCCTAAACCCTAAACCCTAAACCCTAAACCCTAAACCCTAAACCCTAAACCATCTGGCAATGTTTAAAATGATCATGTTGCGGCGTGGCCGCAAGGGTCCGAAGGCTGCCACTCTGACTTCGCGTGTAAATCCATGGCTCCGTAGTTGCTACCCGTCTACGAGGGTTTAGGGTTTAGGGTTTAGGGGTTTAGGGTTTAGGGTTTCTACCGGTCTACGTGGAGGTTCATGGTACTCATTAATCAATTATAACTGCATTCATAGCTGTACTTATAACCATATTAGGGCACTTAAGGGCTTATAAGTGGGTTGTAAGTACACAGTTATAATTATAATTGGTTAATAAGTACCACGAACCTCCAAGTATGGCCCCCTGGGGTTATGAAAATCAGGGCTCTTGTGTGGTGAGGGTGCAGGGTTTAGGGGTTAGAGATGCGCAAAGCAATGTGTCAGAAGCTGCCGAAGCCAGCCTGGTTGTAGGTTGTTTTTTTCTTGGAGGTCCTCAGACTCGTCAAGTTGCGGACACGCCAGAATGCAGCCTGATTCGGTCAAGCTCATAGGTAGGATAAGGGGGACCCTTCAAAGGGTACCCCTTCTGAACCCTCTTCTGGCTCTCTTAAACAGGGACCTTATTCAGAGGGTCTATATCCCCAAGGGTCCCCTTAATCCTATCCCCTACAAGCTGGCGTTTCAGGAGTGAGCCGTGCTCATGCTTCATCTTTAATTCAACCCCATGCTGAGCGTTAAGCCTTAACCCCTGGAGCCTTAGTGCTTTGGGCCTCGGGTTTAGAAACCCTAAACCCTAAACCCTAAACCCTAAGCTCTAAGCCCTAAACCCTAAACCCTAAACCCTAAACCCTTTTCAAGACTTGTCCGAGGCTGGGAGATCTGGGCGAGCTCCAGCGCGAGTTCCACCTCAACGCGGAGAGTGCCGAGGCACGGGGATTCCGCGGTCGAGGGTCGAAGGGGTTTAGGGTATTTGAGGCATTTGGGGGCATTTAGGGTGTTTAGGGTTTAGGGTTTAGGGTTTAGGCATTTGGGGGGTATTTAGGGCATTTAGGGCATTTAGGGCATTCAGGGCATTCAGGGCATCTAGGGCATCTAGGGTGTTTAGGGTGTTTAGGGCACGTAGGGCTTAGGGCCAGCGCCATTCAGATTCGGTTCTTTTTCTCTAAGCCTTGAGTCCGACATCCTTTTGAAAGTTTGAGCGGTTGTCTTCACGGACACGAGCAGTCTTGGGGATGTCGGGATTCTGCGGTTAGAGCAGGGCCGCACTTGGAGGTCGACGGGTAAAGCAGGGTTCTGCCCCCCCCCCCCCTCTCGGCCCGCAACACAGTTTCCCGCGAGCCTGTAGATTTTTAACCTGGTGCCCCCCCCCCCCCCCACTTCTCGGGTTTAGGTTTTAGGGGTTTAGGGGTTTAGGGTTCAGGGTTTTTGGGGTTCAGGGTTTAGGGGTTCAGGGGTTTAGGGTTCAGGGTTCATCCGCAAAGATGCTGCCCAGTGGCTCTGGCTCTCGGAGACAGAAGGGGGAGACAACACCAAAGCCACCAGACTTGTCACGGAGATAGGGGGCTTTCAATGGTACGGCAGGTTCAGACGTTGGAAGCACCCTGCAAGGAGGTTCTGAAGGGTTTCGCTTGGTTTCGTCACAGCTCACCTGCCATGGCCTTGAGTCCCATCAGCTTTGAGCGTCCGAGCCGCAAAGAACTGCAGGGACTCCGAGCTGCTCTTGATCGTTGGGAGCCATTGGGAGAACTCTCTGAGGAATATTGATCCTCCCTACTGGGCCGAATTCCTGTGCAGCCAAGGTGATTTGAAGGCACGCCTCAGCCAGGCCTTTCAGCCTGACCACCAGTGGCCTGACCTGCGGTCTGTCTTCATATTGGCCGTTTGAAGGGGCGAAGCCGCTTTATGGGCAGTCGAGAGTGGGTCATCAACAACAAGTGCATGGTCAGCAAGCGAGAGTTTCTGGCCCTGCAGAAGCTCATCGTGTGCACGTGTCGCCCCAGCTGCTTCCCGTCATTCACTCGAGTGGATCAGGACCGAGCAATCCATTTGGTGTCATCCACATGCAGCTTCCCTCTGTACGTTTCCACAACGACAGCAGAGCATCATCGGTTCGAGACGACCAGGCAAAGATCCCTGTACCCTTGTGACTTTGTGGCATACCCGCTGCCGGACCTGACCTTCTACTAAAAGCATCGGACAATTGTTCCCTGGGTGCTACCAGATGGTGCCATTGAAGTGTGCCAAGGGCTGCATTTGTCCGTGACGGTTGAAAGTCCTGGCGCCAGGGCTGCTTCGATGAACACATGGAATCTCCCCCTCCTGCTAAGCAAAAGGTTTCCAGCCTTCACCCAAGAAGATTTACAGCGATACACCCAGAAGGCGCAGCGTTTTGAGTCGGTAGCCTTCATCGGAAAGAACTTGGGTTGCCTTGACAGCCAGCATCCGTATTCAGAGTCAGCGAAGGCGGTCATGGTGGGCGACCCGGAGACGATCGAGCAGATTCTACAAGTGTCTGATGACCTAGGCTTGGGACTTCGCAAAGCTTCGCCGACGAGTTCCAGCAAGCGGTGGCAGACATGGACAAGAAGATTTGGAAAAAACCGCACCTATCACAAGTACTTCTGCTTGCTCCGACGCCGGGGGATGCTGAACTATTTCGACCAGTGTTTCGATCACGGGGCCCGCGCCGTCTTGCATGGGCCCGATGTGCGCTCCCTTTCCTTTTCACGCCCGCACGGCCGCTGCGAAGATCGGGTGTTGAACGAATAGGGGACGGCCTGACCGCGGAGAGCCCAAAACGCTGTCCATTTTTGGGTTTCGTCCTTTCCCGACCCCTTCGCATCAACCCCTAGACCCCAAGCCCTCAACCCCAAAACCCTAAAACCCCAAAGCCCTCAACCCCAAAACCCGAAAACCCAAACCCCTAAAACCCAAACTGCAGCCTAGGCTGCCCAGCCCTTCAGCGGCCACCGCGCCGTGCACGCCAAGGCTCAGCAGTTCTCTAGACTTGGCCTCCCTCCTATATACATATACATATATATATATATATAGATAAATATAAATACATATATATATATAAATATAGAAATAAATAGATAAATAATTAAATAAATAAATATAAATACATAAATATATATATATATATATATATCTATATCTTATGTTTCTTTTGTTCAGGGGGGGGTTGATAGGGGGGTTTTCAGGGTTTACGTAGGGGGGGAGGGGTGCCCCTAATTAGGCGCACAGCTCGTGGATTGTGGCTTCCTGGCATAAGGGGTTGGGGTTTAGGGGGTTCAGGGTTCAGGGTTTGAGGGTTTAGGGTTCATTCGTGATACCCTGCGTTGGGAAGCACCCAAACGTGGATGATCTCGCGTTGTGGGGCAGAAAGAGCATCTTCAACTCTTGTTGGTTCTCTCTTTCAAGCTTTTTATACGAGACTATAGGATGAGCCCATTCAACTGCCCAACAGCCTAGCTTCAACACCCTAACCCTAAACCTGGGTCTTTGTTGGCTCTACTGTTACATTTTTGTTATCATTAACCCCAATATGGATTCACAATGATAATCCCAAAGCCTAAACCTCGTAGCGCTGGCTCCGGCCCCACTTTCAGTTTGTTTCTGCCAGGCCGGTTCCCTGCGACGCGGCATAGGCGGCACTTTTTGCCCTAGACCCTAAACCCTAATTAAACCCTAAACCCCAAACCCTAAACCCCAAACCCTAAACCCTAAACCCTGAACCCTGAACCCTAAACTCTAAATCCTGAAGCTAATTCGGGGGGTCGCCACGGAAGTTCAAACTTTGCTCTGCGTTTGCCGCCCTTCAGCACGACGAGCTGGTAAACCCTAAGCCCCAAAGCCCTAAACCCCATACATCGGAGGTTTAGGTTTTAGGGTTTAGGTTTAGGGTTTAGGGTTTAGGGTTTAGGGTTTAGGGTTTAGGGTTTAGGGTTTAGCCTTAAACCTAAACCCTAAACTCCAAACCTGAAACCCTAAACCCTAAACCCCAAACCCTAAACCCTAAACCCCGAATCCCCTACCCCACCCCTACACCCCTAGACCCCTACACCCCTAGACTGGCCCTAGGCGCAGAGGTGCGAGAGGTGGACGCCGGCAGCTGGATACCTGGCAGGGCGCCCATGGATCTTGCGAGCACGTCGCCGTCGACCAAAGGGTAGAAAGGGATTTGTTTAAGGTTTCGGGTTTGGGTGTTTAGGGTCTAGGGTTTGGGGTTTAGGGTTTCGGGCTTAGGGTTTAGGGCTTACGGCTTAGGGCATAGGTTTCGGGTAAGAATAAACAAAGAATCGTGTTGCTTATTCGATCACGAATGAGCCTCTTTGCTCAATAACTTAGATGTCTGTTGTAACCGGTTTCACGCACCATCTAACACAAGCCGGTCAAGCGTATCCTCTTGTTCACTTGTAGACCGTTTTACGAAAGGACGCGACATAGAGCGACCACCTGCATCATGAATCTACATCCTTATTCGCATTGCTGTCGGGTAGCTAGGCTGCTGCAGTAGCAACAAAAGCCAAACGCCTAAGCCCCAAACCCTTAAACCCTAACCCCGTAAACCCCTGAACCCCAAAACTGTTACCTAGGCTTAGACCCCTAGGCCTTAAATCCCAACACCCTAAACCCTAAATCCCAGATCCCAGACGCCATCTGTACTGAGTCGACCGCTATGTATCTTATGGCTTTGCCGGAGCAACCCGAAACCCAAAAACCCGAAACCCGAAACCCGAAACCCGAAACCCGAAACCCTAAACCCCAAACCCTCAACCCTCAACCCTCAATCCTCAACCCTCAACCCTAAACCCGAAAGTCGAAACCCCCCAACCCTAAACTGACCGAGGCGCTATCCTTGCACCACCTTCGCTGCATCCTCGGCAACCCTGCAATCGATTTGGGCCCAGGACCCAGACCTACTGGGTCCTAGTAAGGAAAGGAGGTGGGTTTAGGATTTAGGGTTGCGGATTTAGAGTTTAGGGTTTAGGGTTGAGGGTTGAGGGTTGAGAGTTGAGGGTTGAGGGTTGAGGTTCAGGGTTTACGGTCAGGCGACGACTAGTGTTCCTTAAGGTATGGTCCCGTCATGTATGGTGCGTCTTCCTTGAACCCTAAACCCTAAACCCTGAACCCTAAACCCTAAACCCTAAACCCTAAACCCTAAACCCTAAACCCTAAACCCTAAACCCTGAACCCTAAACCCTAAACCCTAAGCCCTATGCTCTCATTAAGGGGTGTTGTGGTGCGGGGCTCTCTGGTTCCTAGGAACCTCAGATCGTTGCCAAACACCCGGCTTGTCGTGCTTTTGTGGGTTCCTGGTTTTAGGCCTAAGCCCTAAACTCTAAACCCTAACCCCCAACAGGCCCTAACTCCTGAAACCTAAACCCTGAAACCTAAAACCTCAACCCTAAACTCTCAACAGGCCCTAAACCCTGAACCCTAAGACTGCAACAGGCCCTAAACCCTAAACCTGAATCGCATGACTACTCCGGGCCCTACACAAAATATGGGACCAAAAGAAGATTGAGCATCTCGCATACTTGGCAAATTCGGGATCTGAGGTGTTCGGTAATTTTAACCATCAGTTTTGTTTTTTTCTCAGGGTTTTGGGGTTTAGGTTTCAGGGCAAACAGAGACCCTAAACCCTAAACCCTAAACCCTAAACCCTAAACCCTAAACCCTAAACCCTAAACCCTAATCCCTAAGCCCTTTTTGAACCAGAAGGGTTGTTGGGGAGTTTCGGGACAAAGGGATGCATGAGGAGGGCCAAGGGCTGCAGCTTCGAGGCTGAGCACGCAGGGTACAAAGACCTCCATATCTCTGGATAAATAAACCCTAAACCCTAAACCCTAAACCCTAAACCCTAAACCCTAAACCCTAAACCCTAAACCCTAAACCCTAAACCCTAAACCCTCCAGGGGTTCCAAGAAGAAATCCTCCTTAGTTGATGGATACAGGGGTATGTGGGAGTTGGCGGGCCAGTGCAGCTAGGACCAACATAGTTGCGCCAGTTCTGGTCGCAAACCGTCACAAGCTGCAGTATCCGTTGTCGCATACTGTCACAAATGTGCGTCAAAGCCAGGCTGCATTTTTGACATGCAGGGGGCCTAAACCCTAAACCCTAAGCCCTAAGCAGGAAACCCTAAACCCTAAACCGAAGATCACAGATCTTGGCATGCAAGTGCCGGTGCTGAGGTTTCCGAGCTTAAGGTGTCGGGGGCGTGCGACTGGTTGAGTCCGTGGGAAGATCACGCATGTCGATCCTTACCAATGTCGGGGTTTACGAAAATACGGGATCCCCAATATAGACCCCAAATACCAGGATTCCCTTACGGTAGGCGGCCAGTTGGGTTCAACTATTTTCGAGAACCCCCATCAGTCAAGCCAGGCATGAGCTGACAATTCCCGGCTGAGGGTTAGCACGGTGAGGGAGCTGAGTGCGCTTGTGCAGAGTAGGGTGAAAGAACATGTACGGCGGCATGTAAACCCGAAACCCGAAACCCTAAACCCTAAACCCTGAACCCTAAACCCTAAACCCTAAACCCTAAACCCTAAACCCTAAACCCTAAACCCTAAACCCTAAACCCTAAACCCTAAACCCTAAACCCTAAACCCTAAACCCTAAACCCTAAACCCTAAACCCTAAACCCTATCCTAAAGTCTTCAGAGGCAGAAGTAGAGTCACGGAAGAACAAGAGCAACGGTCACGGAGTTGCAAGACGCAAGACGTAGCAGTTAGCGCGCTCTCGAAGCATCACCCATCAACCATTCAAATCTCAGCGCGCTCATGTTCTAGGACCCAGAGTAGGCATTTTTTCCTCTTTTTTGGGTTTGAATTCCTTGTAAGCCCCTTGAACCAACAAGGGTACCCTTTTATTCCTTGGATACACGTGGGTCTAGTGTTCTGACAGATGTTTGATATCTGCCAATGTGCACGCGGGACCTTCAGCCCATCCGATAGTTACACATCCAAACACCGATGTGCAGCCCTAAACCCCCCAAACCCCAAACACCAAACCCCAAACACCAAATCCCAAACCCCAAACCCTAAACCCTAAACCCCAAACCCTAAACCCTAAACTTGTGGTGCTTTTGCTTCGGTTTTCAGAGGCTTTCCGGGCCCCCCGAAGCGCACCGCAAGCTGTCCGACGAGGCCCCAGGTTCAAGATTTGCGTGCTTGCTAGGGTTTAGGGTTTAGGGTTTAGGGTTTAGGGTTTAGGGTTTAGGGTTTAGGGTTTAGGGTTTAGGGTTTAGGGTTTAGGGTTTAGGGTTTAGGGTTTAGGGTTTAGGGTTTAGGGTTTAGGGTTTAGGGTTTAGGGTTTATGTTTTAGGGTTTAGGGTTTAGGGTTTAGGGTTTAGGGTTTAGGGTTTAGGGTTTAGGGTTTAGGGTTTAGGGTTTAGGGTTTAGAGTTTAGGGTTTAGGGTTTAGGGTTTAGGGTTTAGGGTTTAGGGTTTAGGGTTTAGGGTTTAGGGTTTAGGGTTTAGGGTTTAGGGTTTAGGTTCTACGAAAATAAGGGGCCCCTACAATGGATCCCCAAGTAGTAGGATTCCCGTATAATAAGGACCCCAAGAAGGTGCCCCCCTACTTTCGGAAACCCCCAAAGTGGCCTGAGATAACCTGAATGGCATTTCGGGCAGCTTCTATTCTGCCAGCTTTTTTTTTTCGGGGTTAGAGACGGAGGATGACAGTTGCTTCGGCTCCTGTGTTGGGACGCCTAAGTCCTGAAGGCGATTGTGGAAGTCCGGGTGCCAGGCAACGTGGCAGT